AAGATATGGACCGCTCAAGACATGACTGAAGTCACAAGCTTTGCATGTCCCGCCTTGATCCGAAAAGCTGAAGAAGAATGAATTAGCACCTGCAGTTAACAAGCATCAAGATTAGATCAGAGTCTGCGTGGGGAACCAACCAAGACTCAAGATCAAGCTTCAGAAGACATATAGATAGGAATCTTGTAACTCATAGCTGATAGGTTGGTTTAGCCTCTTTTCATTTTTGATTTTGGTGTAATAAGGAGATCAACAAGTAGTAACAGCAGCAACAACAGTGAAATCACAACTCATCGGTAGTCCCAGCTACCAAAACTTTTAGAACTACACTGACCTGATTCCTTTATAGCCAAGGATATGTAGGCAACCTCCGGAGCAAGGTTCAGTCAAATTTTTTCAAAATGCTTCCCATGGAGTATCCAAACGGGCAAAAATCGCTTGTAATTGCTCACTTTATCTTTGCCCCAAAACCCTTCGTGTTTTCGAGCAAAGAGGGGCATCTGTGAGCACGTAATTGTTGCCTCACCGAAAATACTCCCACAAAAATTAATAAATAGGTTTTTTTTCTTAATTGTTTTTAAATTTTTATAGAATCTTTAGGAATTTTTGGTAATTGTTTGCATGTAGTTGCATTTTTTGTGCACTTTTAATATTTTAAAGTCATGAAAAATACCAAAAATATTTAATTCTTCATTACATAGCATTTTCGGTCTTAATTGCATTTAGATTTAATTACTTGAATTAATTACATTGTTAAACAAAAATCATAAAAATATTGATCATTTTACATTTGTAGCTTTTAATTTTAAACTAGAAATTTCCTTTCGTTATTTTAAGCTAAATTAATTGTTCAAATGTTAGAAATAGTTAATTAGGTTTATTTCACAAATTAGATTTTGATTTAGGACCTAATCTAGGTTTTTAATTAATTATGTTAGGATTTAAAATTAAAAGAAAAAGAAGAAAGAAAACAAAGAAAATGAGCTAAGGTTCATTTTGGGTCTTAATTGGAATCTGGGCCAAAAATAACTTCAATGACCAAATTTCCCTCACTATCTCACCCCAGTCTAGCCCCAAACCCGTTTAAAATCCAGTCCACCCCACAAATGACCAAAACAACCTCGTTTTGGTCAAGTTTGATCTCAGCCGTTCATATCTCCCAATCCAACGGTCCGTAACTAATTCACCCAACCCTAATATAACTGTCTGAGACTGAACCCCCCACCCCCCAGTAACCTCTCAGACCTCTCTTCTCTCTTTCTTTGTTTTGACACCGCTGGCGTCGCTGAAAATCGCCCACGGCGGGGGCCACCGTCCAAAATAGCCCCAAACTCACACCCTACACTCTCTAACTCCAAATCTCCTATCAATTTCAATAGAAAATCAACCAATCGTCACGAATTTCAGATCTTAGACCTAAAGAAGAAATCTAATCTTTGGTCAAAAGCCTTGAATCCTCCGCTGCCTTGTTTCTCCGCCCCGATATAGTAATCAATATCGCTACATGTAGCATTAGTTCTGCCAATAGGTGCGAGTCAGTGCTCATGTTGCGATATCGAATATTGACCGGCGATTTCCTGGTCAAGATGACTTCAAAGGTGATCCTCTTCTTCCTTCATGTTTAGACCTATTAACTCCTTCTGTGGTTTGTGAGGTCTTATTGTTAATTCAGTGGTGTGAGAGTTTATCCGTGCCTATTGGTTCAAATTGGTTTCATGCGAGATTGGTTATATTTGCTTAGCTAGATTAGTTGTTGTTACATGCCTTAGAATTTATCAACTTCTCAAATTTTTATGACCTTAGTTGTGGTTGAGTTACTGTTTATTATTCTGATTTGCTCATCTCTGTTTTGGTTTAATCTTGTTCTTAGGAGACTGATTGGTAGATTTTTTGATGTTCCAAGATAATTGGTTTTAATCTTAATCGTTTCTTTGTTAATTTAGGTTATGTTTGAATTTCTATAACTTTGTTTGAATTCGATTGTTTTAATTAGCAGAATCATATTGATTGTGGCCTGTCTTGAAAATGGATTGGGGGCCTGCCTTGTTTGACAGGCAGGCCTATTGAGTCTTAAGGTCCAGATATTTGGTACGGTTTGAAAGGTAAATAGTAGAGCCCTAAAGGGTAATTAGGAGATTTGAAATTGAGGGAATCTTCATATAACTGCTAGGAAGTTTCTAGAAGGTCTAGGGTGCAGTAAAAATAGGGGAATTTAGGTCAATTTTAGGTTAATATAGAGGGGTAAAAGGGGCTGGGAATGAATAGGAGAAATTTTGGATGGACAGCTTTCCAAAATCTGTTGTAAAGATGCCTTTTCCGTAAATTTTAGAGAAGGCTGACAGATTCCTAAAATAACTCTCATTTTTCTGCATAAAAGCACACATACACTCTCATATTGCACTCACTTTTTTCACTCGGCACTCTCAGACTTCTTTCAATCTTCAGTAGAGCAAATTTTCTGAATTCTAGCTTCCTTTTAAGTTTCCGAAAACACTAAAAAAAAGGTTTGAAAAGAAGAAGAAAAACAACAGGATTTGGGATTGATTTTGTAAGCAAGGTAATTCCAAAGTGAAGCTGACTTCTCTAGGTTCTAAGCTGATTTTAACTGGCATTTGAAGCTGTTTCTGCTGCTTGGTTTTGTTGAGCTTTCTTTCTGGTTTTCTGACCTTTATTTGGTCCCAGCTCTTTGATTCCTGCTTTAGGTATGTTGAAATCTCATCTATGGTGTCTCTAGAAAATGTATAAATGTAAATTTGAATTGTTGTTCCTGTGAAATCATATGTTCCTGTTGTCTGAGTTTTGCTTACAAGCTCTTTTCCTTTTTTTTTCATATTGATGACTGATTTGTCTATGTCTTAAGTTTAAGGAAGTTCATGATGTTTAAATCACTTTAGAGTTGACATAGCATCTATTAGAATTTGATTTGTTCTTTAGATGATGATCCATGTTTGAACATTGAGTATGGTATACTTGTAGATCTGATAACCATGTAATCATGTTTGCTGCTAGAAAATTCAGTTAACAATTTAAGGAAAGGGAGGATTCCGTGATTCCATGCCTTCCATGCCTGACCGTCTTCAGTTGTAGATTAGAACTTTGGAGATCAAATTGTGGACTATTGTTGTTAATTACAGAATGGAGTTTGAAAAGACTTTACTAGTTTGAATCCTTCTTCTAGCTTAATTCAGCATGTAAAAAAATGTAATTAAAACAGCTTTGTTATTGTCAAATCTAGTTCACTTCCTTCTAATGCATTCTCTGAACTTGGATAACATGAGTTTGAATTTAATTGTTAGGTGATTTATGCCTTTTTGATGATGTACTCTATAATCGACAGTGTAGTCTGTTTAGGTGGCTATTCGTATAAATTACAAATGTTTCAATTGATAGAAGCTCATTGTTCACTTTATTTTATTAAGTTATGATCCTTGCTCAATTCATTGAACGATATAGTCATTTTTTTTTTTGAAAAATACAAGGCATGTGTACTCATAAGGATTTCCCAGAATACACTAAGACCAATTAAGTCACGATTTATCAAATAGCAGCTTTCCAAAATTTTGAGCCTCAAACGGTAGGTGAATTTGCTGACGTTCATACCCAGTAAGATTCATATCAAATGACCTTAGACTTATTTCAATCTTTATATGTTCTATCCACAATGATTCTCCATAAATCATGGCCTCGCAATAAATCTATAAGTAGTTTAAGAAAAATAACTCATGAACATCGTAGTTTGCTTTAGGCGCGTAATTAAATCATCACGACTATGGTACGGTTCTCGTGGCATAGTCGTGATACATAATCCCCAATTCGGGTGCGCATTTCATGTGACCCGACTATAACTTCTAATAATAATAAAAGCAAACATGTTGTAGATCGCGGGTACGGTTCATGTGACGCGATTCGCAATGTGTACAAGAACAAATGAGTGCGCGACATCGCGACTTGTTCAAACAAATTCCATAAACACTAAAAGCGGTTAATTAATAAAAGTTGTAATAAAGTTAAAAACGCACAATAGGTTTAAAACATGTAATGAATTAAATAATTACGCCAATCATTAATAGTTGAGCGACCGTGCTAAAACCATGAAACTCTGAAGTGCCTAACACCTTCTCCCAGGATAACAGAATTTACCAGTCTTCTGGTTTTCGTGGACTTTAAACAGAGTCAATTTTCCTCGATTTGGGATTTTAGAATAAACCGGTGACTTGGCACACCATAAATTATTCCAAGTGGCTACTCTAATTAAATAAATAATCCCATTTCGATTAATGTCACTTTAATTGGAAAAACTCCTTATCCCCTCGGGAAAAAGGAGTGTGACACTTGTCTTCGGTTTATTTACTTTACGGTCTTTATTTTATAACAATTAAAACACTTGTCTATTTGCTAAATTTGTTAATAACCTTAATAAATACTTTTGCATGAAATATTTTCTACTCACTAATCAAATATTCAAATTATTTCTATAGGACATGAATTATATAACATCAAATTCACTCAAATAACTAAGTGTAGAAAAATTTAATGAGGTAGCTAGTTTTCGCCATGCTATTTTGAGCTGTATTCAATTTTTTCAAAATATCCAACTTGTAACTAGTGTTGGTAAACTTCAAACAAATGTTGTCTAATTTTTCTGCCTAATCCAATTCTAAACAAGAGAAACTACAAGTGGATCTTCCAATAAATATTTAGTCCAATTCAACCAAATGCTAAATAAACGTAAAAGAGGGTACTAGTGAGTTGTACAATAACCATACCAGTTACCACCTGTATATCTGAAGTTTTGTAACTTCAGACTCGCGAGATTTAACTGATTAAATTTACAAAAAATTACGAACTTCGGCTATGCTTTAAATAGGAGTCCTCAAAGTGGCTATCTGTGCACTTCCCGCCCAACTCAAGCCCAATAAAGGGTACATAATGGAAGCCCATAAGTTTTTCCAGTATATAAAATCAACCCGTTTCGACCCGCCCGCTTATTTCCCGCGCATCCTTCTCAATCGGCACCTTGTTTGCGAGTGCAACTATACTCTAACAATTCTCCTACTACAATGGAGGATATCGACGGAGGAGAAATGGCAAGCGAACCAGACAGAGAAGAGGAAGAAGCAGCCACCGACTTACTCCGTGATCGATTCCGATTATGCACTATTTCCATTGCTGAAGCCGAGGGTAGTTTTTTTTTTAGTTTTCAAAACACATACAGTAATTTCGAATTTTTCAATTTTCAATTTTCAATTCTGTCTTTAATTTGTTTGTTTTGGTGTATAACTGTTTAAGTGCAGCGAAACAATGTGGTATGGAGGTTTCTCAACCGATTATGGCCTGTATTTCTGATTTAGCCTTCAAGTTTGCTGGTACTTTTCATCTTTTCTACATATATACATGCATTTAATTAGGAGAATTCAAAATTTGAAGGCACTGGTGCAACACTTAATGTGCAAACATTTTTTTACACATTTTATTTAAATTTTCCATATACATATATATTGTCTAAGCAAGGCAGTGAATACAAGTGCACCTGGCTTTTAACACATTTGGCTGTCCGGTCAAAAATAATAACAGTCGCTAGCCAAATATACAAAAACTATACTCTGATTATGTATAAAATATGCATACTTTAATTTAAAAAAAATATAAATTTGCTGGCTATTATTTTGGAACGCGGCTATACTGTGTAGATCTCCCCTGCTTATATGCTAGATTCCCATTGTGGGCACCCGCTTCACGACCTGTATCCTGTGTTATCTTTTGTCCTTTTCTTTTGCTTCTGGTGTTGGTATTCTAGAGAAATTTTTATTTCCATTAGATTCTTGATGATGGTCATAATTTGCTCAATTTTTTTTCTTCCAATTAGACACTGTTAGCAAGTTGTGGTTGAGTTTCCATTCTGGAAATTGCAAGCTTCTGTACGTCTCTTGCTAAATATGGAATAAGGATGCTTAACAGTTGATTATAGTACAATGCGTTTCATATATCAGAATTGCAAGGACTTCACCTTGATAAGACTTAGTGTGGAATATGACAAAACGGCGAATGTTTTTTTATAAGATAAGTTCAAGTTTGTTAGTTGGTTAGGATTAGTTTATTAATCTTAATAATAGCCCTTTGTTTTAATAGCAATGAGGTTCCATCCCATCTTGGTTTATTCCTATTCCACAAGAGGTTGGAGGGCTAAGGAAAATACATATGGACTTTAAGCGAATTTGATGTGACATGAGATAAGGAGAACTTATCAGGAAAAAGAAAAATGCCTTGAGATAAAGAGATGTCAGTGGTTGTTCATAGGATATTCAACATTCACTTTCTTTTGATTGTGGATGGCGCCTCCAATCTAATGGGGTGATATGCTGACCCTGCATGTTGACACTATCTGCAATTTCCATCACGAAGATTTCATTTGCCACTTTACATGAAAGCTGTTTCATTTACAATGTGTACAGTTAGTCACTAAAAATACAGACACGGAAGGCATAAAAAAAAGTGCCACTATATGTAGTAGGCAACTTCTAGGCTGTTCTATGTGTGTATATGTGTTTGTATCAATCTTATTGATCTCGTTTTTTACTGGTCTGTTTTGTACAAAATCCCATACCCTACAATCTCCATGCAATCGTCAAAAATGTCACCCAGTGTAGCTTCTAGTTTGAGAACTTTAATTTCATGCAAATTCTGCAAGTGCGTTGCAATACCTTCTGTTGGAATGGAAGAATTCATTTCTCACCAACTGAAGCACATTGAAGTTAGACTACAATTCCATCTCATCAAAGCAATAAGAAAATAAGTGTTTGAACAGAAAAGAACAATAGCTTGGGGCTCTTGAGGTGACTGCATCAAGGAGCAGAGGTGGATGGCAGTGAAGGTAGTTTACTAGTGGGGGTGTTGTGCGTTGGAGGCTGGTGGTAGTGAATAGAGTAGTGGTAAATAGTCACATTTACATGAATATTTAAATAAACATCTTCTATATGATTTTAAGACTTTTTACAAGATCTGAATGAACCAGATCTAGCAAGAGCAAACAAGTGGTCATTAGAAAAAAACAAATCAGTTAATGGGTTGAGATGTTAATTATCCAGATTCAGACCTCTATTAAGTGGAAACAAATGAAGCCTTAGTTGTCCCTTTGCTGTTTGATTGAATTTCATATTCAGGCATGTCTATGATTGTATATCTTGATTGCTGAAGCACTTAACTTACAGAGTACTTTTTCTTGAGAGCAGAACAGCTAGCAAAAGACCTTGAATTATTTGCACAGCATGCTGGTCGTAAGTCCGTCAACATGGAAGATGTTATTCTTTCTGGTGAGTTCATCTGTAAATGTAATAGGTACAGCAGATCGTGAACATCAGTCCTTATGAACACAACTTAGCTTTATCTACTTGGCCTTGTCTAAACTAACAATCTAGCTTTATCTGCTTTTATTAAATTTACAGTCATTTTCCAGTGACTAGGTTTACAAGTTTTACTTAGCAATTTGCTTCATGTATATAGAACTGTGGTGTTTCCTCTGATCAGTTTGCAAATATATATTGTGTGTGTCCCTAAGTTTCTTTCCCACCTTCTCATAAGAAAGATTGATAATCATTTGCTACTACTGTCAATTATTGCAAAATTGATAGCTTTGCCGTTTGCACAACTCATTTTAGGTTCATTCAAGACAATATTCAATTTGCCATAATACGTTTCTTGTCCGAGCAGTTCATTTTCAAAATTGATTTAACATTGCTCCCTTTTACAAACCCATGAACTACTAATTTTTCTTAATACGTACTTCCTAGCACATAGGAATGATCACCTGGCTGCCTCATTGAGGTCCTTCGGCAATGACCTGAAAGCAAAGGAACCCAATATGGAGAGGAAGAGGAAGAAGAGTTCCAGAAGGGAAGATAAAGTTGCTCGAGATGTACTTCGTACTCCAGACTATTAGATTAGAGGCGTGGCCAGTTTCACTATGTAGTCCAATAGCCTAATAGCTTGGTGAGAGCAGCATCTGCGCAGCACTCACAACTTTTTAAGGTAAAAACAGGTTGACAACATCATTGAAAAGCTACCTCAAAATAGCGCCTCAAGTGCAACATGGTGCGATAAATCTGGAGAATAGCAAAGCAACTAAAAGAATGTGGTCTGATAGTACTTTTGATGTTGTAAAACCTTTCACATTTGTACTATAAAAAAAGTTTTGGATTTGAACTTCCACCTCACATTAGTCTGGGAGGAGCTCACACCTTGGAGCTTGGAATAGTATGAAAAATATCCGTGCCATGCTAGGCACATAATTTAGCTGCTGATTAGCATTCTCTGTACATGATTTAAAGCACTTTTGCATGAATAGTGTATTTTCTGTGAAAGTAATCAGTTGATAAAAAGATTAGCGGTGATCAGATAGTAACCAGCCTATCTGAGCAATCCATCCCAGAGCCAGATAAGTTCCATCAACAGTAGCCAATGAGGGATAATCGTTGGTAAAATCATTCATCAGTTGATTATGTTTTGGAAAAAGTATCTCTTATTGTCTATATCAAAGGCCACGCAAGAACCAATGGAAAGGATTTTGACATCCTTGTTAAGGTATGAAGCAGAAATGGTCATCACCTGTTGGGTTTTTAAGGTATTTAATTAATATATTAAATACTTAAAAGAGGGTGAATGGAAAATGGAGGGAAATGAAATTTTTGAGTGAAATTTTAAGTTCCCCCTCCCTTGGCAAATGGGCATTGTCCCATATTGGAAGAGGAAGAGGTTTTTTATGGGTATATAAGCAATTGCTCTTCTTCTAGCTCTTAAAGAGTTGAGAAGAAGGCAAGCCTCGCGCCGTCGTCGTCGTCACTCGGATTCGGATTTGGTCAAATGATCGATTGATTGATTAACTTTTTGGACCAAATTTATTTGTTAATAGTAAAATATTAACAGAAATGTTATTAAATATTTGTTTTAATAACAAAATATTAATATTAAATATTAATATTAAATCCAATCCGTTTTTCTGTTTTGGTAACAGAAAAGTAACTACCCTCTTCAATTTTCCCTCTTTATTTTCCCTCTTTATTATTGAGTAAATGGCCATTTATGTAATGGCATTTATGTTGTGGGCGTTTTGTATAAACAACCATTCTGAAGAGACCCAACTTTGGCTATAAATACAACACTATTCTGCTCAGAATTTTAACTACAATTTTCTGAGTTTCCTCTCCTTCTTCTGCATACTTTTAGCATCAAAACAAAGCAAAAAGTAAGTGTGATTTGCTACCGAACTTTGTGTTCGCTGAAACACTTGGGTTTGAAGTACCACTACACCAGTGTGTAATTCGTTCTATCCTGGGAGGAAATAATCCATAACCTTGGGTACTAGGAGGGGATTAAATTCCTTAAGGAAACACTGTGAATTCAGTGGGCTCGAATTGGTTTATGTCATTTCTGTTTATATTCATTTACTGTTTATATTCATTTATATTTCCAGAATTTATTTTACAAATACAGTGTAATAACAAGCTTAAGGAATTTAATAATTTATTTTCTGTATTTGTACTTACTGTTTCTGGAAGAGTAAAACCTTTGTGGTTTTGTACTCTATTAAAATCTACGTGATTTTAACGTTTGTGTCATTCTTTTACAGAAATGACTAATGAGAATGAGAACCAAGCGGTTCCAATGGTGACTACCAATGCGTCAACAAGCCGAACGACACCGGCAGCATTGGCACCGGCGGAGAAACCCGGAAAATTTTCCGGGATTGATTTCAAGCGCTGGCAGCAAAAGATGTTCTTCTATCTGACTACTCTAAGTCTCCAGAAGTTCATCAAGGAAGATGTTCCTGTGCTGTCCGATGAAACTCCAGAAACTGAACGCTTTCTCGTAATTGAGGCATGGAAGCATTCAGATTTTTTGTGCAAGAATTATATTCTAAGCGGGCTGGAGGATGGTTTATATAACGTCTACAGTGGCGTGGAAACGTCAAATGAACTGTGGACTGCGCTTGAAAAGAAATACAAAACCGAAGATGCCGGGTTGAAAAAGTTTGTTGCTGCAAAGTTTTTGGACTACAAAATGGTAGATAGCAAGTCTGTTATTACCCAAGTCCAGGAATTGCAAGTGATTATTCACGATCTCCTTGCTGAAGGTATAACTCAATTTAATATTGATGTTGAAAGTAGTAATCTTAGTATTTTTACTAATAGAAATTTCATTGAAGGTCTTGTTATCAATGAAGCATTTCAAGTAGCAGCGATGATTGAGAAGTTGCCTCCTTTGTGGAAGGACTTCAAAAACTACTTGAAACACAAACGCAAGGAGATGTCCCTTGAAGATCTCATTGTTCGGTTGAGAATCGAAGAGGACAACAAAGCTGCGGAAAAGAGAGGCCGTGGAAATTCAACAATAATGGGAGCAAATATTGTTGAAGAGAACAAAAAGAGAAAGAAGGCTTCTGGACCAAAATACAACCCAAGCAAGAAGCGGTTCAGTGGAAACTGCTACAACTGTGGGAAAACTGGACACAAATCTACGGAGTGTCGTGCTCCGAAGAAAGACAAGAAAAGGGGTCAAGCAAACATGGTTGAAAAGCATGATGATGTTGATGATTTATGTGCCATGCTTTCCGAATGCAACTTGGTGGGCAATCCTAAAGAGTGGTGGATTGATTCTGGAGCCACTCGCCATGTTTGTGCTGTTAGAGAAGCTTTTGCTTCTTATGCTCCCGTTGGACCCGATGAGACGATTTCTATGGGAAATGCTTCAAAGGCGAAGATTGAAGGATATGGGAAAATATTTCTCAGAATGACTTCCGGCAAAGTGGTGACTTTGAACAACGTCCTTCATGTTCCCGAGATTAGGAAGAATTTAGTCTCTACTGGACTTCTTGTTAAGAATGGGTTTAAATGTGTTTTTGTTTCCGATAAGGTTGTAATAAGTAAGAATGAGATGTTTGTAGGAAAAGGTTACCTCACTGAGGGCCTTTTCAAGCTGAATGTAATGGTTGTTGAAAATAATAATAAAATTTCAGCTTCGTCTTACTTACTTGAGTCAAATGAATTATGGCATGTACGTTTGGGTCATGTCAATTATAAAACCTTACGGAAAATGATTAATTTGGAAGTATTGCCCAAGTTTGAATGTGACAAATCAAAATGTCAAGTATGTGTGGAATCTAAGTATGTTAAACATCCTTATAAGTCGGTTGAAAGGAATTCAAATCCTTTAGACTTAATTCACACAGATATTTGTGACATGAAGNTATGAAAGACTTGGGAGTTGCTGATTTAATTCTGGGAATTAAGATCCATAAGACTTCTCAAGGTCTAGCATTGTCACAATCTCATTACATTAAGACAGTACTTGAAAAATTCAAGTACTTGGGCTTTAAAATTGCAAAGACTCCAATTGATGTGAATCTTGCATTAGCAAAGAACAAAGGCCAGAGCATATCACAATTGGATTATGCTCGTGTGTTGGGTTGCTTAATGTACATCATGAATTGTACACGACCAGATATAGCTTGTGCTATAAGTAAATTGAGTCGATATACGAGCAATCCAGGCCAATCTCATTGGATGGCCATGAAACGAGTTTTGGGGTATTTAGTACATACCCAGGAATTTGCTTTGCATTACAATAAATATCCTGCGGTCATTGAGGGATACTGTGATGCAAATTGGATCACTGAATCAACTGATTCCAAGTCCACAAGTGGATATATATTCACTATTGGTGGAGGAGCGGTATCTTGGAAGTCATCCAAACAAACTTGTATTGCCCGCTCTACAATGGAGGCTGAGTTCATAGCCTTGGATAAAGCCGGTGAAGAAGCTGAATGGCTCCGGAATTTCTTGGAAGATATTCCATTTTGGCCCAAACCGTTGGCCCCAATATGCATACATTGTGATAGTCAAGCGGCAATTGGAAGGGCTGGGAGCGTTATGTATAACGGTAAGTCTCGCCATATACGACGAAGACATAAAACCGTTAGACAATTACTCTCTAGAGGAATTATCACGATTGACTATGTAAAGTCAAGTGATAATGTGTCGGATCCACTTACAAAAGGTCTAACTAGAGAGGCAGTTGAGAAGTCATCAAAGGGAATGGGACTGTGGCCGAGAACAAGTCATAGTGGCGGTAACTCTACCTAGAAGACTGGAGATCCCAAGATCTAGGTTCAAGGAGATCAAACAAAGTCATTTATGACGGTTCAACTTTGTCAGCGTAAACTTTTGGTCCATTTCTCGTGATGAGACAATGTTCAGTACCAAGGATAAAGCATTAAGGCTTTTTAATGATTTCTAAATTTGATACAGGGTATATCAAATAGTGTATCTATGGGATGACACGTTTAGGAATCACCTATGTAAGTGTGAAGTGTTAGCCGCTTCAAGGAGAACACAGCAAGGCCAGTTCTCTACGCACTTATGAAACCAGGCGGTGTTCATGGCTGAAACGAACACAACAATGAGAACCAAAGACGGTTAAGGGTTGGTTGTGTGACTTGTGGTTGTCTAGGTATACACTAAAGTTCGACGGTTCAAAGATATCAAATCTACCGATTGATCGAGTATATCCGACATAAGTTCACTACGGAAAGTTCAAAGGGAAACCTACTTATCCAGATGCAATTAATCCTTACTTGTGAATCACACAGTTTTTCATGCATACTTCCGTGATATAGCCATTCCCCATTCATGTGGGGGATTGTTGGGTTTTTAAGGTATTTAATTGATATATTAAATACTTAAAAGAGGGTGAATGGGAAATGGAGGGAAATAAAATTTTTGAGTGAAATTTTAAGTTCCCCCTCCCTTGGCAAATGGGCATTGTCCCATATTGGAAGAGGAAGAGGTTTTTTATGGGTATATAAGCAATTGCTCTTCTTCTAGCTCTTAAAGAGTTGAGAAGAAGGCAAGCCTCGCGCCGTCGTCGTCGTCGCTCGCTCGGCTCGGCTTCGGCTTCGGCTACGGCTACGGCTTCGGCTTCGGCTTCGGCATATTAACAGAAATGTTATTAAATATTTGTTTTAATAACAAAATATTAATATTAAATCCAATCCGTTTTTCTGTTTTGGTAACAGAAAAGTAACTACCCTCTTCAATTTTCCCTCTTTATTTTCCCTCTTTATTATTGAGTAAATGGCCATTTATGTAATGGCATTTATGTTGTGGGCGTTTTGCATAAACAACCATTCTGAAGAGACCCAACTTTGG